ATCTGTATGTACCCTGCAAACAATGACCTTTCCAAATCCACTTAAAGCAGGAAAAATAAATTCAAATATTTCCTCAAGCTGCTGTATAGTATCATTTTACAATGTTCATGACTCGAGTTTTCCTTATAGGAAACATAATTGAGCGTTACCCCTGGATAAGCCCTGGCCAAGGTGCCAGTATTCTGCCTAACCTGAGGCCAATTAGTCTCCTGAGTTTGGAGCTGCACATAGACCAAGTTGCTAAACTACCATGAGAAGGAAGCATAATGACAAGAGTCCTCTTCCAGGCAGAGTTTAAAAAGAAGGGGATGTTAAGGTTGTATACATCCTAAGTACTTTGAGTCAACTTGCAATGTCCTGAAAAAATCCCAACAGTCACCTTTAGACATTAGGTAACTCCTCCAGTTTCTGGAGTCAAACTGTCTGCATACAGTCTGCATTCCAGATCTCCCTCACAAGCCACTAGCTGTGTGTCCTTACAACTTACTTGTCCCCTGTAACTCAGTTTTCTCATCTGAAACCTCAGGAGGATATTGCTTATCAAATGTCTATCCCCTAGGGTTATGGTGAGGCTCGGGTGTAAAATATGCTTAGCACAGTGGCTGCCTCCAGATTGGCACTCCTAAACCAGTTGTTGTAGTTATTGTATTGGTGACATTGATTCTCATGCATAGGATCAAACACCAATAAGAGGGTAGAAGTAAATCCTGTCTTCTGACTCCGAATTCTAGGTTCCTTCTGTTACTATGTGTTACTCAGCTGAATGTTTATTATTTCCTTAAATAATTAAAATACCACAGTACTGTTTGTGCTACTCTAGGGATGCCAAAGTATTCTAATTACACAGCTCTGCTGTAAGTGGAAAATAATATGGTTTCACTGTTCTTTGCACTTGCTTGAGGAAAAAAACCCACATACCCAGACCATTTCTCAGCTTCCCAAGAGTTATACTTCCCGGGAGTTAAACTTCTTTGATATCAAAACCAATTACAGCCCTGCCAACTGAAAGGACTGTCGATTTGGCAGTCTAGAGGCCATGTCTTGTCTCTAAATGGTGTCTCTTGCTAAATGGTGACATCAACTGTTTATCTCCCTTTCAAAGTTGTTCTCTGATATTCTGCTCCAGCTCCCCGGAACAAAACAGCTCACAGCTGCAAGTCACGCCACCTTTCTGGTTCACTGCCTGCTTGGGCATAAACAGCTGGCACACCCCGCTCCCTGCTCTTCCTACTGCTGGGCTTGGCACTGTCCCAGGTTCCTTGGGTACTGAACCTTGTGGAGTCCATAAAGTTAATTTTCCAAACTAACTTTATTTAACCTGGTATGAACTTCAGACAAGGTAGCTCTGGAGAAATTCACACTGATTTTCTCATTTCATTTCAAAACATTTAATTGTCAGAAAGAAACATTTACCAACGTAGACCACATCCTGGGCCATAAAACCAACTTCAACACATTTCAAAGAATTTAAATCCTACAAAATAAGTTCTCAGAAAACATTGGAATTAAACTGGGACTCAATAACCGAGAGATATCTGGAAAATCCCCAAATAGCTGGAATTTAAACAACACATTTCAAAATAACCCATGGGTCAAGCAGAAAGTCACAAGGGAAATTAGAAAATATTTTGAACAGAATAAAAATAAAAATACAACATATCAAGATTTCTGTGATGCCTTTGGAGTGGTACTTCAAAGGAAAATAACTTGGGGCACAGTGGCTCATGCCTATAATCCCAGAGACTCAGGAGGTTAAGACAGAAGCAAGGTTAAGACAATTCAAGTCTAGCCTCAGCAACTTAGCCAAAGACCCTGTCTCAAAAAATAAAAAGGACAGGGAAGGTAGCTCAATGGTAAAGCACCCGTGGGTTCAATCCCCAGTGCCAAAAAAAGAAAATATATATAGATATATGGACCCAGCCTCTCATTGTTGGGATAAACCCAACTTATTTATCATGTTCTATCATTCTAACATACTGTTGAATGGAATTGGAGTATTTTATTGAGAATGTTCACATTCATGTTTCTGAGAGATACTGAGCTATAGTTTTTTTGTCTATTCTTGGTATCAGGGTAATGCTGATCTCCTAAAATGATTTCAAAAGTGTTTCCTGCCTCAGCCTCCTGAACCACTGGAATTGCAGCTGTGTACCACCATGCCTGGCTCCACATTTTAAATATCAGTGTAATTTACTGTAGCAACAAACCTAATAAGAAAAATAATATGACATATAGATTAAGTTGTTGTTGTTGTTGTTGTTTTGGTACTGGGATGGAACCTAGGGACCCAGAGTGGCTTTAACCTAGGCTATATTCTTAGTCCTTTTTATTTTTTGAGACAGGTTTCACTAAGTTACTGAAGCTTGTGATCCTCCTGCATCAGCCTTGCACATTGCTAGGACTGCAGGCATGTGCCACCACAAAGAAAAGAATTTGACAAATATTCCTTCATGATTTTAAAAAACTAACATAAAAACACATCAAAGCAAACTAGGAATTAAAATAACTTTCTCAACCTGATAAAAGGCTTCTGTGTTAGTTATACATGGCTGCATAACAAATTACCCCCAAACTCAACAGCAAACTTTCATCTCAGCTTTTGTAGGTTAGGAATCCGGGTATGACTTAGCTAAGTGCCTCTGGCTCAAGGTTTCTCACAAGGTTGAACTTAACTTGTTGTCTGGAACTCCAGTCTCAAGATCTTAAGACTTACTGGAGAGAGGTAGCAGTGGGGAGATCCACTTCCAAGCTCACTCACATAGTTGTTGGTAGTATTCACTTTCTCATGGAATTGTTGGACAGGAGGCCTCAATTCTTCCCTAACTGTGGGCCTCTCTTGGTTCCTTTCCATAGAATAGCTCACAACATGGCACCTGGCTTCCTTTAGAGCAAGTGAACAAGAGACCACAAAAGAGTACCCAAGGGGGTAGTCACAGTCTTTTTGTAACCTAATCTCAGAAGAGATATTTCATCACTTTTGGCATGTTCTTTTCCTATATCAAATCTAGGGAAGGGGAGTATAAAAGGGCACAGATATCAGGAGGCAGGGATCATTAAGGGCCCTCTTAAAAGCTGTCTACCATAATACCCACAAAAATAAATATCTTCAGCTAATATTTCTACTTAATGTTGCAAGACTGAATGCTTTCCTCCTAAGATGAGCAATTAAGACAAGATATGTGCTCTCACCATGGTTATTTTAAAAGGGAATAAAAGAAATACTGATTAGGAAGAACTAAAATTATCCCTATTTTCAGATGACATGGTGGTCTACACAGAAATCCCAAGGAATTTATAAAAACCTCCTAGAATCCATAAGCGATAAAACATCTAAATGGTAAATAAGGCTTAATCATTAAAGAAATGCAAACTGAAACCACTAAATATCACTACCCACCTATTAGAATGGCTAAAATCAAAAGAACTGGCAGTCCAAATGCTGGTAAAGGTGTAGAGTAATTGGAACACTGCTGACAAGAATGTAAAATGATACCGCCACTCAAGAAAACATTTTGGCAGTGACTTACAAAAACTCATATACTTATGATATGACCCAGCAGTCCCCTCCTAAGTATTTTCCTAAGAGAAATAAAACTATATAATCATACAAAAAGTCATGCATGAATGTTTACAGAAGCTTGACATACAATCACTGAAAACCAGGAACAGATAAACAAATATTCATACATCTATACAGTGGAATACTACTCAGCAGTAAAAATGAAAGCATTGCTGATAAATGCAACCCGATGGATGAATCTCAAATGCATTCTATTAATTGAAAGAAGTTTATTCTCAAAAGGCTGTGGGCTGTATTAGTTCATTTATATGACATTCTGGAAAAGGCAAAGCTAAAGAGACAAAAAAAAAAATTGATAGTAGCTGCCATTTGAATTTCTGGGAGGTCTACAGACCACTTTTAGGCCATCCCTGGACCCAATCTTTATGCTCCTTCATTTTCCAGCCAGCCACAAAACCCTCTCTTCCCAGCTCCAGCTCCTTCCTGAACCTCACTAAGACTGGCATTTGGTAGCATGCTGCTTGGTATGGGGCTGGCCCCCTGTTTCATAGACAAGTGTTTTAATTTTCTCCCCGGAGGTCTTGCTTCTGGGGCAAGCATCGACCTCCTGGTGGGCGCACGGAATGGGGTGAATGGTAACTGTTGAGATGGTGGGCCCATTGGCATTTTACCTACTTCATGATTTCCTCATATCCATCAACTGCCCACCATTGTGCTCAGATCTGAGCAGTAGGCGCCCAACTGGGAGAAAGATGGAGAAAAGAAACCTAAATCAGGTAAA